TAATGGTAACACAAATATTTTAATGGCCAAATAGTTACATATTTTAAAATTAAATAGAAATTATTAAGATCCCTTGACTAAATCTAGATTTGCAAGATAGTATTGTTTTTCATTTTACATATTCTTGTCTGTTGCTAGATCCTGAAATCTTTTTCTATAGCGTACAATTTTCTCTGTTTTTTACACTAGTTCTCACTAGTTTGCTAGGAACACTTAATGTTTTAGTTTTTAAATTCTTCTCCAGCAGGGATATTCAGTCCTTCAATTATTTGAAAAGAGAGGGAAAAAAGTTAAGATGGGGTTTAAAATATTAATCCTGTTTTAAAAAATGTTCTTGGTCTCTAAAACAGAGGTACTTAAATTCGTCTAATAAAAAATCATGGCACAGGTTTCTAAGTTGTGGCATAAAGCAAACATGTAGTAGGGTGTAACTACTGTCCAAAGAGGTGATAATATGAGATGATGAAGAATGAACGACATTTCTGGTATGCATCCTGAACCTCAGATGCTTAAAGGGAATAATGATGAAGAGGGTGACAGCTGATATGTACTGCATACTCACTGTATGCCACGCACTATTTTAAGAACTTTACATGTATTAATTCATTTATTCCTTATAGCTCCATTAGGAAGGCATTATTATCTCCATTTTACAGGTCAGAAAATGAAGGTAGAGAAATTAAGTAACTTGCTTAAAGTAACGTTTGTAATTAGAACAGCCATGAATTTGTCTGACTCCAGAGGCCTTGTTCGTAACCCTTATGCTTTATCTGCTTCCCAGTGACATTTATCTTAGGCTTGTGGGCATGTCTACATGTCTGATTTGTAAATCTTTTCAGCATATGGATCCTATATTAAAAAAATAATTATATGCATGCTTGAAACATTTTCTACCCTCGTCTACATTTTTAAACACTTCATTATCTTAGCACTTTAGCGTTTACTCTTGAAGCCTCAGTTCTGAAATGCTAAGTCAAGGGCAAGTTAACTCTGGAAATGTTCTGCTGAGCACTTAAAATCATTCAGTAAGTAACCCTGATCAAGGAACGAACACTGCCTCCTGGTCCACTGCTAGGACAAAAGGATTCTGCAAAAGACTTACCTGGCGTTTGGTAATACTTTTCCCAGAAGAAAATGGCTTTTGAAACAAAACCATAAAAAATGCAGTCCTGTGAATATTGAAACATTAATATATTAATATTAATTAATCTTATATACAAGGTGTGGTTTTAAGTAAAGACACTTAAACAAATATACTAGAATTTGAAGGGTATGTTAACCTCTAAAGAAAATATACTAGAGAACAATACTTATTTTAATAAGGCTTCCACTACAATATTTTGGGAACTCTTCTTTCTTTTGTATCTGCCTTCAGAACCAGTTTACAAGCCACAAAAGAAGTCTCAATATTTTTTTATACTTTACTAAAGAAAATAATTCCTATCTTCTCTAAAACTTAGTAATAACAAATCTTGAAACAGAAATGAAGAAAGTACTAATCATATATCCCTACCTTTCATATTCCCAAAATAGTTATATAAAAATATATTCAAGTGGTGCTAAAAATTTTCTAGTCAAGAATCACTTTCCATAATGACTAAAATTGCCAGGAGTCTAACAGATTCTTTTCTTTTCTTTTTCTTTTTTTTTGTCTGAGTTGGGTCTTTGTTGCTGCGCGCGGGCTTTCTCTAGCTGCAGCGAGCGGGGGCTACTCTTCATTGCGGTGCGCGGGTTCTCATTGCGGTGCGCGGGTTCTCATTGCGGTGGCTTCTCTTGTTGCAGCAAGTGCACTTCAGCAGTTGTGGCGTGCAGGCTCTAGAGTGCAGGCTCAGTAGTTGTGGTGCACAGGCTTAGTTGCTCGCAGCATGTGGGATCTTCCATGGACTAGGGATTGAACCTGTGTCCCCTGCATTGGCAGGCGGATTCTTAACCACTGCGCCACCAGGGAAATCCCTAACAGATACTTATTAATACAGAGGTTGGTCACTATCAATCTCAAGGTCCAGAGAATCTTTACTTAGAGAGAATTTCTTACTAGATGCAGAATAGTGTAAAATTCATACTGTAAGGGGACCCTATACCATGAAGGGACATGTAGTGAACACAGCCCAGCACGGTTTAACTTGGAAAATAAGGAACATCTGTGCCAAGACAAGTCTCAGGTGACATTCTATGCCTGCTGGAAGGTTAGACTATGCCAGTAGGATGGTCTGGGAATCCCTAGGGTCCCTGAGGCCCTTTTAGAGAGCTGTGAGAAAAAACTACTTTTTTCTTAAATATTAAAAAAAAATATTTAAAAAATATTTATTTATTTTTATTTGGTTGCGCTGTGTCTTAGTTGTGGCTCATGGGCTCCTTAGTTCTGGCATGCATACTCTTAGTTGTGGCATGCATGTGGGATCTAGTTCCCTGACCAGGGATCGAACCCGGGTGCCCTGCATTGGGAGCTCGGAGTCTTAACCACTGTACCACCAAGGAAGTCCTGAGGTCAAACTATTTTTACAGAAGTATTAGGATATTATTTGCCCTTTTCACTCTTATTCTCTCAGGGGTGTATATTAGAGCTTTTCAGAGGCTAGTTCATGTGAGATACTGCAACAGACTGAATACTGACTCAGCTATGGGGATCCAGCTGTATTCTATTAAGCCAGACATTAAATTTGCAAAAACCTCATTAACACAAACTAAAGCAAAAGCTGATGTTTTGTCAAGCTAACAGAGTATGACAATCCATTTTTTTTTTAAATCCAGTCTCTTGGTACCTCTAACCTTAGGTATTCTGTCTTTAAAAAAAATTATCAAGTACTTGTCAGGAGGAATAAAATGCACAAAATATTCTATGTAAAATATCCTAAAGATACTCAGTTAAAACAGGATTTTCAAAGAAATTAAAAAACATTAAGAAAAAAAGAACCATATACACTCACCCAAGTTTTAATATAAAAATAAACTGAACAATGTGAACTACTTTTAGGAGGTCATATGATTCAAAAAGCCCCACAGCCTTCAAAAATTTAGTGACACACAGTAATACAATATATTTCGTTAACCTGAAAAATAAAAACAGAAACAAGTTTCAGTATCATTGAAATCACAAAGAACTCTGTAATCCTTTTTTTTCTTATTATACAAGTAATAGGGGTCTTTATGAAAACCATAAATATAAACAAAAAATGAAACAAACAAAAACTCAACTCACCCCTCCACGTGATAACTACTATTAACACTTTGGTATATATACTTTCAGATTTTTTGCAATATACGTGGACGTATTATGTATGCATAGATACAGTCTATTAAAGAAAAAAAGGCCAAACTAAAAATAAAAATGTTCTTGATTGAGTTGCCTCAACTATTTTCTAATGTGCTTTTTAAACAATTACTCCAAACAAATAAAGAGAATAAAAACAGAAACCAAACTATCTGTCATGAAACGAGACTATAATATAGGAAGGGAGGGGGGAGTGGTGAATGCCTTAGGTTTACCGCTCCTCTGCTCCGCTAAGTGACTGCAGTGAGTCACAGTTGAAGTGACCTGACCTACAGAGTCCTGAGAAGGCTCAGGAATCTGAAGCACCTCAGAAAGGGTGTGGAGAGCTGCAAAGAGCAGGATCATTAGGAAGTCTGCCAGGTAGTTAGGTCCCCAGAATCTCACCCAGCACAGCCAGGCAACCATCCCTCCTAAATCACGACAGGACAAGAGCTTCGCCTTTGGAGAAGTCTAGACATAAGGCAAAGGGGAAAAGAGGGATGAAGTGTTGGACTAAAATCATGGAGATTAAAAGGAAGTCTCCCTTCTTAACCCCACCCCACCTGCCTTCCCTCATTTAACTCTAACATCCTAACTGCCAGGCTTCAATCTCCCAGCAGGAGAACCCTACTCTGGAGAAGCCCACCAGGGGACAAGCCCCATACAGGTCTTCTAACTAGCCTTTTGGGCCTCACTCAAATAAGAATGGCCAAATATGGATAATCAATCCTTTACGATAAGCCTATAATGAGAGACCAAACAAACTAAAACAGCAAAGAAATTTAAAAGATACAGAGATCACAGGGAATAGCAGAAAACAAAGAAGAACTAGAAATAATATTCTTGGATAAGAAAGAAAAGTTCATCCATGAAAAAATTAGGCTGCCATAAAAAGAAACGAAAAAGAAGCTCCTGAAAGAGCAATCAGAAAACAGTGAAGAAATTATCTCAGTTTTCTAGCTTAGTAGTCTTCTTTGGTCATATACCTCTAGTAGTAAAAAAAAATTTTGCACCTGAAACCGATTATTTGTACATTACAAACATGTACTACTCTCCTGACATTATGTTATAAAACATACACAAATTAGAAATGAAAAAGAATGAGATAAAAAGGTGAGAACTTCTAATATCTCCCCCCAACAGATCATCTTTGCAAGTCATTCAGGAGACTACTTTCTAAGTTTATATCTAACAGGTGTTAATATATTAAAAAGGAGATAAAAGGGATGTCCAAAGCCAGCACACCAGCAGGAA